GGCAAAAAATGAGATAGAGCCTCTGGGCCAGGGAATGAGATGGTGCCGGCAGGAGAGTAGTGGCCCTGCTTGGGGGTTCTGCCGGTCCTTTTATGGGGCTTGCCACCTCAAAACCATGACATTTGTAAGAGAAAACACCAAGCTCGAATGGCTCCTCCCCCTCTGCCAGTAAAGGAGACCCAGCACGTTCTCAGTGTGACTTAATGACTTGTCCGTGGCTTTACCTTGATCACAAATTTTGGACTTTGTGGCCATATTTTGATTATGCTTCCAGTGAGCTATTTTATGAATTTTTGTTGGACTTCAAAAATAGGAATGATAAAATTCAACTGGAAATTGATTATGCTTTCAAAATGTACAACTAATTTAAATATAACTTCGTTTTAAACAAATTATTAGCTGAATATTAGCAATATTTTCTATTCCCATTAAAATCACTGTGGCAGGTGGGTTTGAAATACAACTCATTACTCAAGACAGTTACTGCTTATGTATTTATGAATGAGGATCCTAAGGTATCAAGGGGTAGTAATTAAGATTTTTCTGTAGTATTGTTATTGCCCCAAAGGAGGCTCTTCACTTGGTAGGTGGACCAAATCAGTAATCCTACTGTTCACTACTGGTCACAATAGCCCACCAGAAGATGTGTCTTTCTGGGCCTACGAACACACAGATCTCCTCCCACCCTCGCCCTCCAACATGTGCACTTTTCAACACACGTAGCACAGACTTCCACCATACTTCTTTTGAGTCATTCATTTTGTTTGCTGTTTTGAAATGTTTGCAAACTTACATAGAAATTGCAAGTCCCTTCACCCAGAGGTTCCATTCAAGTTTTGCTAATTTTCCCAATAATGTCTTTAATAGCAAAAAAAATCCAGTCCCAGAATAATGCTTTGCATTTAGATGTGTCATTGGAGTATCCATCAAACCAGGAAAAATCCTTCTTTGACCTTCATGAGCTTAGCCCTGTTGAAGATTACAGGCCTGTGATTTTCTAGAATGTTCCTGAATTGGTTTGTCTGATGCTTCCTCATGATTGGATTTGGGCTTTTTTCACTTTTCGCTGCGGTGTCGTAGCAGAGACACTGTGTTCTTTGCACTGCATCTCATGAGGCGGTAAGTGAGATCAGTTTGTCACGTCCGTGGTGATGTTAACGTTTATTACTTGAGTGAGGTGGGATTTGCCAGGTTTCTTTAGTATGAAGTTACTAGTTTTTTTCTTTACAACTAATAAGTGTTTCGTGGGAAGAAACTTTGAGCCTGTGTAAATATTTATTTCTCATCTAAATTTCATCCACGAGTTTTAGCATCCATTTTTTTTTCTTGCCTGAATTAATGATCACTCAAGTGATTGCCAAGCGGTGATTCCTTGTGCAGCTATTCCATCTGCACTGTAAGTTAGCATTCTCTAATGAAATGCGTTCCCTTCTCCCACTTACTTGTTCACTGGCTTGTTATTCTCTGTGGTCTCACGGATTCCTGTTTATTTAGTGAGATATAATGGGCCTCTGTCATTATTTGTCAGACAGTCAAATGTTGTCAAAATTAACGAGGGGGAGCTCCATCAAGCTGGCTTGTGAAATGCCCACATTATTCTTTGAGTGCGTCTGCACTTTTTTGTGTAACGTGATGTTCCAGGCTCATCTTGTGGTTTCTGTCCCGGCCTGGATTCAGCTGTCTCGCAGAGACAGTTCCTTGTGTTTAGAAGCCAAGGCCTGGATGCTTGGTGTACTTGCTGCTGGCTATGGTGGTTTTGTTGCTCCCAGAGTGTCTCAGGCAGAGAGCCAGAAATATGTCTAGTTATATACACACACCGAGTGTCTTTTAAAACATGCATGCTTTTACTTCTATATTCACTCATTTATCTACCTAAAGCCATAGCTTCACACAGATGCATTCAGTTCTAAGCAAACATCATAGAGTTCATTCCAGCTTTCCCCTTTTCAAATCTGTAATTCCCTTTTCAGGTGGTGGAGGACCTGACTTCAGTTAATCTCAGTATGTGTACTTATTTGATCAGTCTAGCTGTAAGTAATAGTCTCCTGACTCTTATTTTGGCCACTTACTTCATGTAGGCCCCCATCATAAATTCTTGCTGCCATGGCAGCTAAACCATTGGCCTTTGATCTAAATACTTTCCCCATGTTTGTTAGTTCACTTTCCTTCTGTTTGTCTGTCTGTCTGCACACACACATACACACACACAGACAGACATGTGTATGTGTAAAACACTGGCGATTTACTGGGTAGAGAAACTAGAAAAACGCTGTTTTACCCCAGGAGTATGATCATGAGCTGATCTGATAGGAATTAAATGGACCACATCTCCAGTTAGTGAGCAAGCTGAAGATGGTGGTGATAGAAACAACTGTTCTTCCTTGCTTTCAGGCTGTAACTGCTCCTCAGATAGCAGCAATATTTAAATAGAAGTGAATTCTTTCTTGCTAAGGATCATCTACATGACGTCCTGCAACATTTTTTAAAAATACTCTGAATTCAGTAATGAATTTTGTAATTTTTGAAAAAATGTGTATACGACTACTGGTTTTTCACAAAAGAAATATTTTTTAAACAAAAATACCTGAAAGCACAAGATTAACATAATGCAAGGGAGATGAAAAACATATCCACAAATAATAAGAAAGGTTTGCAATATGTTTGCATAAGGCAAATGGTATGCAAATAACTAAGCCAAACCTTTGCATTAGCAGAGCACGCTGTCTGTGTATTTTCTGGAAAAATGTACAGAAATGCACAGAGTTGCTAGACAACACATGGCCTCGGCATATTGTTGTCAGGGTCTGAGGTACGGCTGAGGGCTTTGCTCGCCGGCTATGTCTTTACTGTCTTTCTGGGATGTGGCTGTTATTTTGCAGTGAAATTGCTCCCTTCTGTGCCCCGGCATTTGCATTTACATTACAGACCACAGAGTGAAGGGTGCCTCGTGTGAGTCAAGCGTCGCTGCTGGCTCTCTGCAGCTCTGTGGCTTGTATCAGGAGGAGGAGCGAGTTTCAGCTCCGATGCTGACCCACCTCGACACGTGTATGAGCCCTTCTCCCGCGTTTACTTCTCAGGATTCTTTATGAAACTGATGACCCAAGCGAGGGGACATCCTACATGCCGTCGGAGCACAGTTCACTCCAGAAGGGTGATTGATGGCCAGGCTTGTGAAAGCAGCTCTCTCCTGCCCACATCCGTCAGTCTCTGCTCCTGCTCACAGGGCCATGTGACCTTCCAGACAGGCTGGCAGTTAGGATGTGGAGATGTTTTACCTGATGGTTCAGGTCGTTGACTTAAAGAGTGAAATAGATCTTTGGCGAGTTTGAATTGGACAAATAGCAAGTGACCTCAAGTGTCTTTTGCTTTGGGACAAATTTGTGAGTGGGGACCTGTCACTCACTCACCGGGGAACCAGCTTAGCGGACTCCTCCGAGTCCCTGGCTCCGCGCAGCCGTATTACAGTGACAGTCGCGTGGAAAAGAGTGTGCTTGGTAGTGTTCTCACATTTCCGCATTCATAAAGCTCGTCTGTCTTACTGCTTGTTAAGGGTCCAACACCCTGACACCTGGTCTACTGTTACAATTCCAACGGTATTTTTGAATAGGGGGGTTGCAGTTACACTGAACTTGTGGATAAATTTCGGTGTTGTCTTCTAATTAGTCATTAAGCATTTCCCCCCTGGCCTCCCTCCCTGTCTTTTTCCTTCCTTTCTTTTGTTTAATAAGGCTCTTGATCTCAAACCTGAGGTTTTCTGTTCCACAGAATCTATTTTAAAGAATCACGTGTATTCTTTTACATCAGTTCAGTGCTTTCATCTCTGTCTGGTACTGACTTGGCTGCTGTTGTCATTGCCGTATTTAACCGCAGCACTAGTTAGTTGTGTTAAAATAATATGACAATAGAAAGACCAGAGCTGAATATCAGCTGTGGTTGTACGCCTTTAATACTGGGGGTCAATAGTCCCAACTTCATGAGTGTATTGTACACATTGAAAGAAATAATTCTTACAGTGTTTGTCACACACCAGGCATATAGTAAAGATGGGTAAATGTTAGAAAATAAATTCCACGAGGTAGGGATCTTTGTAACGTTCACAAGCACCTAGTACCGTGCCTGGCACACAGTGAGTGCCCGATAAATGCCTGTCGGCTGCCACCACTGTCCTTCTGCAGCTATCGTCCTCATCTCAGTGCTCTGGAAGTTACACAATAGCGACATGATAAAAGGACTCACACACAGCAGGTGATTTAGCTAGGACTGTGCTTTGAGAGCCGTATCCTCAAGCATGCGGTTGGTCTGATCTAGCATTCTTGGCCACACGTCTTCAGAAAGGCTAAAGGTCTTGTGTTTTGTCCTCCTCAGGCATCCTGTTCTCCCTGGTGGTGATGCTGTATGTCATCTGGGTCCAGGCAGTGGCCGACATGGAAAGCTACAAAAACATGAAAATGAAGGACTGCTCGGATTTCACCCCTTCTGTGCTGTATGGCTGGTCGTTTTTTCTGGCCCCCGCGGGGATATTCTTTTCTCTGCTAGCTGGATTGCTGTTTCTAGTTGTTGGACGGCATATTCAGATACATCACTAATCAAACTGTTGCCACCAATATTTTCCTGAGAGATGTAAAAACACAGCATTTTAAAAAATTTTGTTTCCGTGATCCCAGCACGGAATGAGTTGACCTAAGTTTTTGGTTGCTGTTTGAGTTAACTTTTTACTTGTGATTTTTCTCTAATAAGAGGGTCCCAGAATCTATCCGGACGCCAGAGTGCTTCCATCTTATTTAAGTGCTTTCAAGAACCTAGTTCTTTAGGGAGCAGGTAACATGGGCCCCCCTTTTGCTGCACATGGTAGAGTCCATGTGGGTAACAAAGGTTTGATAGCAGTGTAACCACATCACCTGGGGCAGATCATGGTTTGATTTAAGCCTCCTTCTTGGCATTCACTTCTGCTGCTATTAGACAAAAAAAATTCTTTGGAGAATAACTAAGAACAGAAAACAAATGTTGTCAGAGAGTTGACTCCATTTCTTCTCCACATGTGTGACTATCCACATGCACGTGTGCTGACTCCTGCGAGCAGGGCATTCGTTGTTTAAAACCAGATAGCACTTGCTTTTGTGCAGGAGCCGTGCAAATCCATCAGGTAAAATGGGCCACTACGACACTAACGTGTTATTCCACTTTCTTACCAAAGTTAAGTTTGGTTACCTAAATTTATTCACTTAATTGTGCATGCTTGTGTAATTCTTAAAAAATATTTAAAAATAGCAAATCTGTACACCAAATCACGTATAATGCAGATTGAATTTTTATGAACTTAAAGTGGGTTAATTGAAGATGTAATACGGGCAAAAATATATCAAAACCAAGTGCCTTTGCTATGTACATAATTCTATGTGATATTTTAAAATTTCCACTTAAAAATTAGATTGCTAATATGTTCAGCATGTGAAAATTTATTGATGAGATGTGCTTTTAATATGCACTGGTTATAAACTTTCAGAATACTTCCAGATGAGGATAATAATAGGCTTGCTTTATTAAAGACTATGAAATCCTAACTTTTCTCAAGATCTTATGGGTTTGTAGGTGGGTGTGTGGGATGGGAATGACTCTTCATTATTTACTAGAGTAGACAGTTTGCATATCAAAGATGTTTGTTTGGCACTGATTTTGATTGAAATCAAATCCATCTGAGAAGCCTAGGTTGTATTTGCATTTTGGAAGCCTCCTGATGGAGGAGTTGCACGTTAGTGAAGGGACGGAGGACCTGCGTGGTGTGCGGACTGTGTTCCAGGTGCAGCACGCAGCTCCACAGCTGTTGTGAACACCGGAGGCCTGTCTCGGAGGCACATTGCAGGGTGACCCCCGGGAGACTCTGGGGGCCAGAGGCGCTGTAGCTTTCATCCCCTGATGGGGAGATTGCCTGTCTCTTCTCTGCACATCTCGCAGTTTCCATTAAACCTTGTTTCAGTGGGGGGCGCTCTGGAGCAAGGGTGAAGATCTGAGGTGTCTACAGATCACAGGGTGTTTAGGGGATTAGTGACAGGACTTGCCTGTTTAAAAACAAAGAGCTTCAGGGGTTTAACTGGTTTCTCAAGCCGTTTTGATTCTGTCAAACGTTTTGATGGTCCTTTCCTTTGTCTTTTTCTATCTCATTGTTATATTGCTTCGTTTATTTCTTTGCTTTTGCCTTGATTATTAGAAAAATAATTATGGGTTGTTACGCATATTGACTAAGCCATGGCATGCTAGTAAGTTTTCCAGACGATGCTAGATGTATGTGATTTGTTCATACCATCTGTAAATACAATTCCTTTTTGTAGAACTTCGGAATGGAGCCTTTTTCTAGTGTATTATATGTCATTTAAATTTCACATGCAAGCTGCTTTTAGTAAAGATTTGAATATTTGTAGTTTTCAGATGGTTAATCTTACTTTCTAATACTTATGCGCCTACCGTATATTTATCATAAGGCAATTGGCTGAATATTTGATGTACATGACAACTTTACACAGATCTGCACTTTGGAAGTATTTCATAGTTGTAATGCATTGGTCACATTCATGCAAACGCATTTTCTGATCTATTTTACCAGCGATCTACGGGAGAAAGAAAGGTAAGTTGTGTTTACTATGTCAATGGGTAAAATACACTTAAAAACAGCAGACATATATTCTGTTAACAGCCTTCTATCTGATTTGAGATAGCATGTTTCCTTTTATTTCTCTATTTGGTGTGCTGGTGAATTTTTTTCAAAAGCTTCCAAACAAAGTGTTAAAATCGTTAAGAGGGTCGATTTTTCATCGTAAGGTTTCAGTTCAACAAATAAGATACCTTTTTGGTGACACTCCTCGGAAGAGTGGCATGAGAGGGCCGTGAGCTGTGCCCTTGGACTTCAGCGGAGGCTGTGATCTCTCCACTTCGTGTTCGCCCAGTCGGGTTAGTTCAGGTGTACGGCAGGGAGCACACACATTGAAACTGCCTGGAAAAACCCTGCAGAGGCGCTGAGTGAAGGTGCTCCACTGGGGTTGAGTGTAGGACTGTAAATAACACTGTTAGCTGTGCTCTTACTGGTCACTGGCCACTTTTATGACTAATCTATGAAATATATTCAATTTAAAGATCAAGTCCACTTAGAGTATTGTGTATATATGATAGAAGAGGTGTCAGAATTGGTAATTATCTATCTGTCTGTCATGTGTGTGTGTGTGTGTGTGTGTGTGTGTGTGTGGTGTTCGTAAGTTTGGGTAAAAAGAGAGAAACTGAATAATGGAAATCAAAATATTTGAGAAGCAATTTTTTTAAGAATTTAGTTTCTCAGGGATAGTGACATAGTTATGTTTCATGGGTGGGCTCTACCAGGACTGGGGGCTCATACAAAAGAAATGAAGTAGACACTAAATTTGTGTTGATTGTCTGGGGAGTTAAACTTAGGAAACATTTCTTAGTGATGATCAAGTGTAGGCAGAGAAATTCCAACAAAAACCTCAGACTAAAATGTATTAGATGAGTTAAAACCCAAGGAGGCTGGGGATATAGTTCACATCATACATATTGTCATAAACAGAAACTAAACCAAGGAGCATTTACTCTGATTAGCAGGGAAAGAGGAAAGAAAAAACCCGTTTAGAGCTTGGAGTTTCTGAACCGGCTGACTGAAGCAGGGCTCTCCCTTTGGGACCATTCAGCTCAGCCTGGGCCAGTCCGTGGGGGTGGGAAGTGTTGGAGAGACCAAGTCTGAAATGACAGTGAAGATACGAAGGCCTATTCTGGCTTTCGAAGGGTCATTTTTTTCCTCTTGTGTGCAGCTATGACTTTGAAAATTAAAGGGGCTATTGGACAGTTGAACTTTGTAAAATGATCCACCTTTGGATGTAAAGAATCATATGATATATCTAATAATTCTGTTGTGTGTGTGTGTGTGTGTGTGTGTGTGTGTGTAGAAGAGAGAGCTTGTGTGTAGAGAGAGAAAGAGGGTGAGTTGTCTCTCAGTCCGTCCGTGTCTGCAGGGGATTTGTTCCAGGATTCTTGCAGGTACCAAAATCCGAGGGTGTTCGTTCAGTCCCTCATATAAAATGGTGTAGTATTTGCATATAACCTACATATATCCTCCTATGTACTTTATTTTTTAATTTTTCAATGTTCTTTAAAATTTTTTATGTATACATGCATTTATTTTCATATTCTTTTTCATTAAAGGTTATTACAAGATATTGAATATACTTCACTGTGCTGTACAGAAGAAATTTGTTTTTTATCTATTTTTATATATAGTGGTTAACATTTACAAACCTCAAACTCCCAAATTTATCCCTTCCCACCCCCTTCCCCCCATAACCATAAGATTGTTTACTATGTTAAATCATCTCTAGATTACTTTTAATACCTGATACAATGTAGATGCTGTGTAAACAGTTGTCAGCATGGCAAATTCAAGTTTTGCTTTTTGGAACTTTCTGAGATATATTTTTTTGAATATTTTAAATCCTTGGTTGAATCTGTGGGTATGGAGCTGGCAGATATGGGGGGCCAATTATAAGATATCTGTAAGTATCCATAAGGTATCTGTAAGTCAGTAAATTAGAGTGATTTTTAATTCTTCAAGTGATGATTTTTCTGGTTCTCACAAATGACAACAGTCATCTAAATTGGCTTCATGAAATAAGTATGGCAGAAGTATTGGCGTCCTTCATTACTCCTGAGTATTGTGTGGATAGCTTAGGGGGGACAGGGCTCACTGGAAAAAATAAAGACGTTTACTGTTCCATTCTTCTGGGTATCTAGAAGTTCATGCTTCTTTCTTTATATCGTAACTCCTTTTTTTCTTTTCTTAGCATTTCTTTTTCTGTTAATTCTAAGAGATGGTCACTGTTAAAAAAAACTCAACAAAGCCTGCAGAGAGCATTGGCATTGCATACTATCTAAACAAACAGATATTTAAACAATACAGCCTAAAGAAGAGTGATATGTAATGAGTAATGCTGTTGCCTCGTACTTTGGTCTGGCGTATACAAGCACACTGCAAAAAAGAGTGGTATATCATCTTCACCTCCCAAAAGACACAAGGAACATTTTCTTCTCAAGATTTTTATGGGTGTGTGTAAATACCCAGAGAGATGTCAAACAGAAAGTTTGATTAATCTGTGTGTGTGTGTGTGTGTCTGTGTGTGTACACATATACCCACATACCTACATATGTTTATGTACCTAATGGTATGTATGCATATGTATTTGCATAAAGTGATATATATTTATCAATAGATATACATCTGATTACACATGTACATATATACGTAGTATATGTGTATTTATGAAAATATTTTTACATCTATAATGTATATATGTATATATGTAAGAAAATGCCTGTATTTATATCATATGTGCATATGTACATATCTAAATATCTGTCTGTCTCAGCCGTTCCCAAGCTCTTAAGTTTTCCTGAACAGGGGGGCACAGTCCATCCTCATTCTGTTGCTTGCCTGACCCCATAGAGAGTGAGGGGTGCAGGGGAGACTCAGTGAGTGGTGCCATGGCCTTTCTCCCTTGGATTCAGAGAATATGTGGTGGTACACCTGCAGTGGACTGGTCACATCTTATCCTATGGAGGCCCAAAGACAATCACCCTGTCTTGGACATCTAGCAATTAATACCTAGCAATCAATAGTTGTTGGTGAATATTTAATAAGCTTTGTTGAATAAAATAATTCCTTTCTAAAGCAGCATGCCTTGGTTTACACATTCATTCAGTCTCCCTGCAGATGATTAAGCCAAATGGAGTCCCCATGAATTCTTTTCTTTTAAATTAATTAATTTATTTTTTAACTTTTTTTTATTGAGTTATAGTCATTTCACAATGTTGGGTCAAATTCCAGTGTAGAGCACAATTTTTCAGTTATACGTGAACATATATATATTCATTGTCACATTTTTTTTTTGCTGGGGGCTACCACA